AAGAATCCCGAGTCGTGACTGACGATAAGACTGGTGATTTCCGTGTGCTTCTTCAGATACTCCTGCAGCCACTTGACATTTGCAACATCCAGATGGTTAGTAGGTTCGTCCAGGAGCAACACATCGGCCTTCATGAGCATAGCACGGGCCAGAGCCAGCTTCATCTTCCAACCACCAGAGAGGGAGCCGACACGCTGGTTCTGTCTTCCTTCGGGGCCATCGGTAAAGCCGAATTCCAGAAGGACACGGCTAATGTGCTCTTGTCCGGTTTCGGCAATCTTGGGATCCTTCGAGACATATTCAATGATGCTCAGATCCGCGTCTTCACCCTGATTGTGCTCGACGAAACAGGTGCGGACAACATCTTGAGGAGGGAACCCCTCTAGCTTCTCGTTGGCAATACTGCGCATGAGAGTCGACTTGCCGGCACCGTTCCGACCACAGAGACCGTAGCGGTGACCCTTGAGAAGCCGAAGGTTAGTGTGAGACAGCAGAAGCATTCCTCCGTAGGCGAGGGAGAAGTTGGCGTTGACAATCTCAACCTCGTTGGGGTCGTCAGGAATCGGCTTGCCGAACTTGCGGTGGTCTTCCTCGACAAAGTGCTCCTGGACGGCAGAGGCGACAACCTCGTGCTTGTCATCCTGGAGGAATCCACGAAGATAAGGGCCAACACAGGCAGGAATGCGATCGTGCATTCTGGAATTGACATCCTCGCGCACCATCTCAGCGATGTAGCTCTTGCCGAGCTCGAAGAGGGTGTGCTCGCCGGGCGCTGCCAGGCCACCGTTCTCCTTGATCTTGGCCTCGAGCACAGCGAGAACCTCTTCAGCCGTCGTCTTCGCCACGGAGCCGGCGGCCAGGCTGCTGTCACCCATAGCTTTGTCGATCACATTCATGGCGCGGGTCGCGAGTTCTCTGACTTCAGGCAGCGAGGCGCGATCCTTGACAGCCTGGACACCGGGCTTGAGTTTGGGCAGGAAGGTGCGTGCTTCCGCAGGGTCATGGACCAATTTGGTCAAGTTCTCCACAACCACCACCGTCCGGCGCAGAGTCTCCTGGGGCGTCGTGGGCGCGTTCAAGGAACGTTCGAGCAGAGGGGTCAAGAGGGCGAGGACGGGGGAGGTGACGATGGCGACGAAAGTGGTCTGAGACAAGGCATGGATGGCATTCTGCAAAGTCTGTTCCGAAGGTTGCTCCATGGTCTTGATCAGGAGGGGAATGCGAGGAGCCACATCGTCGTTGTCCAGCAGAGTGGTGAGCGCGGTCATGGTCTTGCTGGCCTGCTTCGCCACTTCATTTTTGAGATCGTGCATCCCGGACTCAACGAGGGGGATCAGCTCCTTGAGAGTCTTGCCCATGGCGCTGCGCAGAAGATCCTTCTGGCGCTCCTCATCCATGGTTCCCGTGCCAATCTGCGCCTTGACGGCCATCTTTTCCAAAAGGGCATAGGCACCGACGAACCCCTGCCATTTCCCAGAGCTCTTGTTGAGATAGGCGGAGATGGCGGGGATCAGGGCGTTGACCAGCGACTCTGGTTTCAAGCAAGCGAAGAGCGCATCGATGGCGTACTGAGCCGCATCGCGCACGACGGCGCCCTTGTCAGCCAAAGCGTCGAGGGCAAGGTTCAAGACACCGCCGTCCTGAAGAAGGAAGACGACTTCGCTGAGGGGATGCTCGGGAGGAAAGCGCTCGAACAGGGCACCGATGATCAACATGGCGCTCTCACGTCGGGCCCCGCTCTTCTTATCGGTGGCAGCCTTTTTGATCTCTGGGAGGATGTTGTATCTCTGAAGACCGAACGCTCCGATGCTCTGGATGAGAAGGTTGGTCAAGCCGTAGGCAGCATCGAGAGACTGTTGCGAAGTCTCAGCCGCAAAGATTGTGTTCATAAGCGAGGAAACCTCCTCGACGGTGGGAGGCACTCCCGAGGGAGTTTTCGAGACGGCGATGGGCATGGCGGACATCTCGGAGTGAGGCATTATCATGAGGCTTGAGGAGGGAGAGGGAGAGTGGAGAGTGTCAAAAGTCAGTGCCTTTTGTGTCTGTCGATGTCAGGCCGACAGGATTATCTTCGTTCGAGGCGATGGCGGGGAAAAGAGTCCCAAGCCTCGTGGAGGAGAAAGAGAAAGTCGATTGAAGCGATTAAGGGGAGGGTATATAAGATGCTGGTGGAAGAAAATAATGTCCTTCCCCTAAGGACAGATCTAAAGACAAGGCCTAGGGTATATGAGAAAGAAGAAAAGAAACAACAACGAGAAAGAAGAGAAACAGAAGCCGTGGAAAATTCAAGGCTGATGATGATGGCTGATGGAGGGTCCCCACTAACTATCACGCTTTATCAACAAGAAAAAAATTCGTGCCATCGGACGAAAATTTCTGCCTGAGGCGATGGAGGGAAAGGATGGCCAATCAGGGCTCACCGCCAGCACATGCGGCCGGTGATTTGTTCAGCTTATCATGTGGCTGGTGGCTGGTGGGATCATGCGCCACAGTGAGGCTGAGGGGCAAGTTGGTGCCTGGACCAGAGAGCGGCTGCCTCAGGCATGAATTACCCCAGTCCAGAATCTTGGCTTTTCCTAATCGGGACAACTCCCCACGTATTGCAAGTGGCAACAGTGGTTATAATGTTTATTTAGCATATGTTGTAGGGCAGTATTGGAATCTGCATATCTCATATTGAATGTATCTACTGTTGATTCTTTCTTCTTTCTACCGGATCGATTGCAGGATAGACTCGACGTGGATCAGTACAATTGATGACTGACTCCGTACCCCAGACTGAGGATACCCGAACCCCTCATGTGATAACCGACCGTTGATATGAACGGCCCTGTATGTTTACAACAAAATGGTTCAAATTGTCGAAGAATCCGGTATAACAGAGCTTGATTATGATTATTGATAATTATCCAAGATCAATCGCTTTATCCTGACCCCCATGAAACAACCGCTGGACCGATCATCGGCCATGCAATGCCAAATGTCAACTGATCCGCCGACCGCAACTCCGCATGCAGCCGCTCAGTTGCCTCGGTTTTGGTTGGCTTTACCCCTGCGTCTGCTTACTGTCCACTGGCTACCTCCGCGGTCAACCGGATGGGCCGAGCATCTGTGATCATTGTTGGGACTTTTGCTCCTTTCCTCCTTTGTGTCGCTGTGCCTTTATCTTTTGCTCACCTCTCTCATTGTCCCCCGCATCTATCCACGAACACCCCTTGATATCCTGAGTATCCTCTCAATCACAATGGCCATGACAATGAGATCGACACGCCATGCATCCAAGCTGGCTCAGGTAAGACTAACTCATCCAACTCAATCAGCAAGTCTTCCCTGTCTCATGCAAGACTAATCCTGTTGTCTACCTCTAGACTGCCCGCTCATTGGCGCTCAACAATGCCCGCAGATACTCGACGGCCGAACCCGATCTCAAGACCGCTCTCAAGGCGGTTATCCCCGCCAAACGCGAGCTGTTCAAGCAGGTCAAGGAACGTAGCGACGAGGTGATTGGTGAGGTCAAGGTCGGCAATGTCATTGGTGGCATGCGTGGTCTCAAGTCCATGCTCTGGGAGGGTTCGGTGCTGGATCCCGAGGAGGGAATCCGTTTCCATGGCAAGACCATCAAGGACTGCCAAAAGGAACTGCCCAAGGGCACCTCGGGCACCGAAATGCTCCCCGAGGCCATGTTCTGGCTGCTCCTGACGGGCCAGGTGCCCTCGACCAACCAGGTGCGCGCCTTCTCGCGGGAGCTGGCCGAGCAGTCCCATCTGCCGCAGCACATTCTGGACCTGATCAAGTCCTTCCCCCGGTCCATGCATCCCATGACGCAGCTGTCCATCGCCGTTGCGGCCCTCAACACTGAGTCCCAGTTCGCCAAGGCCTACGAGAAGGGCCTCAACAAGGCCGACTACTGGGAGCCCACCTTTGACGACAGCATCTCGCTGCTCGCCAAGATCCCCCGCGTTGCGGCGCTGGTCTTCCGCCCGGACGAGGTCGACCAGGTCGGCACCCAGGCCCTGGACGCCACCCAGGACTGGTCGTACAACTTCGCCGAGCTCCTGGGCAAGGGCGGACAGCAGAACCAGGACTTCCACGACCTGCTGCGTCTCTACCTGGCCCTGCACGGCGACCACGAGGGAGGCAACGTCTCCGCGCACGCCACGCATCTGGTCGGCAGCGCGCTCAGCGATCCCTTCCTCAGCTACAGCGCGGGCCTGCTGGGTCTCGCGGGTCCGCTGCACGGGCTCGCGGCGCAGGAGGTCCTGCGCTGGATCCTGGCCATGCAGGAGAAGATCGGCACCAAGTTTACCGACGACGACGTGCGCACCTACCTGTGGGACACGCTCAAGTCCGGCCGCGTGGTGCCCGGCTACGGCCACGGGGTCCTGCGCAAGCCCGACCCCCGCTTCCAGGCGCTCATGGACTTTGCCGCGACCCGGCCGGACGTCCTGGCCAACCCGGTCTTCCAGCTCGTCAAGAAGAACTCGGAGATCGCGCCCGGTGTTTTGACTGAACACGGAAAGGTTCCTCCCCTCCACCTTTTCCCTTTTCCCCGTTTCCACTGGCGTAGCATACTGACATTCCATAGACGAAGAACCCCCACCCCAACGTCGACGCCGCCTCCGGTGTCCTCTTCTACCACTACGGCTTCCAGCAGCCGCTGTACTACACCGTCACCTTTGGCGTCAGCCGTGCCCTCGGACCGCTGGTGCAGCTCATCTGGGACCGGGCCCTGGGACTGCCGATCGAGCGACCCAAGAGCATCAACCTGCTGGGATTGAAGAACTGACTGACAGAAGATGGGAAATGACCGAGACGAATTGTTTGTCAGCCGTTGTTTCGTTTGTACGGAATGCATTCCATAATTCCATTCGCTGCCATGTGCAATTAGACGCTTAGATCCGTGAATAGATTACCTTATGCTTTAGCAGCTCCAACGAAGCGTAGTTCTATCCTCGGCAGCACCCTACTATCATCTACATGGGTCAACACACACAAGTCTATCACCCCTTCAAATCACAACTCTCAACCCTCACCTCCGTCATCGTATGGATCTGGATCCCCCCCTCCCTCTCCCTCTCCCCCTCGGCAAGCGTCATCTCGCTCTCATTTTTGTGTTTATGCGCATGCAAACGCATCTCCGCAGTCGCACTCGCACTCGCACTCGCATCCGGCGGGAGGATCCTCTCCTCCGAGTCCCCGTCCGAGGACACCTTCTGCCCCGCCGCGGCGGACATGATCGTCGTCGTATGCGGGAGACTACTATCGAACGGACGACCGGCGCCGGTCTTTGTCTTCTTGCGGGAGGTGCCGGTGCCGCTGCCGGTGGCCGAGGTCAGGCGGTAGGATTGGGCTGTGCGGCGGGGGCGGTAGGAGGTGAGGGTTGAGGTGAGGGTGTGGAAGAGGGGGGCGTAGGTTGGGATGCAGGAGATGAGGACCTGGATGGAAGTTAGCAGGTAGCAGGTAGCCGGCGAGTGGGAGGTAAGGTGGCGGAGGGGGGCGTACACCGAGGCTGATTTCGATGACGGACCAGAGGACGATGGGCTGGCTGTCGGTGTAGGTCTTGAGGTTTTTGATGGTGAAGATGCGGATGATTTGGATGACGGTGACGAAGAAGCCGAGGGCGAAGACGGCGACGAGGGCGGCCTTTTGGCGGCGGCGGAGGTGGAGGTTCATGAGGACGGGGAGGGGGAGGGCGATGATGATGCAGTCGAAGGCGAGGCTGGTTCCTGAAATGATATTGATATCTATCAGTTGATGCTGGTTGTCCTGCTGGAGAGATATACCTGCGAGAGCTGCACGCGGTCAGTCATTGTCTGCATCGGCGTTGCCTCGACAAGAACATACCGTAGTAAGACGCGACGGCGTCGATGCAGGTCCCCGGGATCGAAAGATCCCACTGCCTTGCTACCGGTCGACAAGCGAAGCACAGGACGAACGTGAAGATCACTTGGTTACACACACAGGCGACGATGACGCCGACGATGACGATCCGATAGGCCTTGATGAACCCGCCGATGCGGAGATACGAAGCCAAAAGCGAGACCTTGAACCCGAGCAGGGCCAGAGTGTAGACGGGGCCGCCGGCATATTGAACCTGCATCAGTCAACCGCAGATCTTGGTCGTCGAGGGCAAGGACTCACCCTGCTGAACGGCACGATGTTTTCCTCCGGAAAGTACTGGGCGTCTAGTCCGAGACCCCAGCGCGATTCTATCTCGTCCGTCGTCAGCATCGTTGCAATTGCAGGCAATCGTGGTATTCCGCAGACTCACGCGCAATGGCTATGGCGCCATACGCCAACGCCAGGATGGCACTGAACAGCGAGGCATAATCATCGAGCCATGCGGCCCGCTTGGTGTGGATGCGAACATATAGTCGCAGAATGACGGCGAGAAAAGCGAGGAGGGGGAAAACCAGGCAGATGGCAATCACGCGGGTGACATGGCTGTGAGGATCGGGGGTCTTGAGATTGTATACCCAGCCCATGACTATAAGGGCATTCAGTTCAATACGGAGGTACTACGGAGGAAGATATGAAGCTATTCACCTCTGACTACGGAGATGAGTTTGTGGGAAGGGAACCATATCGATATTCCGTAATAGGATCATCTCCACTCTGCTGCATCTATGACTACACTGTTCCAGTTCTTGGTTGTCTAAATTCTCAGTAATGGATAATGCTCATAGTAATGAAGGCTGCAGCTGGATGATCTGCATAGAACCCATGGAACAATAGACACCGAGACCTACATTCTCCGGCCTTTCTCCTTTCGGGAAACCCGAGGCCATAGACTCCATAGACTCCATCGATCATCTCCAATCAACTCACAGGCCACAGGGATGTCCCGAAGGCTGAAGTTTAAGAAACGAACTGCTAAGAGCCGAAAGGTTCCGTGGCGTTCCGGTTATCCTCATTTCTCATTCCTCTTCTCTTCCTCTTCTCTTCCTCTTCCTCAATGATCGAATCGATAGTCAGCACGTGCGTGCTATTCATTACAGTGTTCAAATTAGATCCTCCGGGTAATAATGTCAGTACTAATAAGTCATAATGTATAGAGTATGAATCTGTCCGCCGATCATTCTCTTTCAAGGTAAATGCCCATCTGCTGGAAACCATGGTTCGTGGCTTGATTCTTGGCGATTGGAGATGCTATGCATTAGCCAAAGGATTGACCACGCAGGATCTAGATAGACATCTACATGTGGCCTGTGCAATATCTGCTGTCTAATCTGATATTATTATTCAGATGATGCCGAATTGCCGATCATCACCCAAGACCTCAAGGATTCATCTGATTCATCTGATTCATCCTCGAAGCGAAGTCTAGATCAAATCGCAGCTAGCAGTACTAATCCAACAGGGTGACCAGGATTACTCGGACAGATGATCATTGGAGAATTAACTTTGCCGTGCCATTGAGGAAATATTCAAAATTCAGACTATAGTCTAGTCTGCGCTAGATTGACGAGATGTGAGGACCCCAAGTCCCCAAGGGCCAAGGGCCAAGGCTGCTAAAAGGTTACCAGACGAAGCCCGGTCAAATCCCGACAAAGTCAGTTTACATTCTAGAGATGGCAAATATGTACACTACTCGGTTACCTAGCTAGCCTGCACAAGTGCCCATCCAAAGTAACGGTCCACTCGTCCGACCCAACAGCCGTGATGCCATAGAACATGCTGTTGGGGTCGTACTTGGCCTTGATGGCCCGCAGCGTCCGGTAATTGCGACCATAGAACGCCGTCTGAAAGTCCCGTTGCCGGAAATCGGCCTCGTTCAGATACGCCCCCGAGCTCTGCGCCAGGGCCTCCAGCCGGGGAATGTACTCGTGGGTCATCTTGTGCTGCAGCGCGACCATGGCGGCCGTGGGCGCGGTCCAGTTCCACGGGGTCGTGATGACGGTGTCGATCAGGGTGTCGCGCCAGGCGGGCAGGACCGCGTTGTCGACGTCGCCGACCAGCGCCGTGGAGACGTTCAGCCCCACGCCGATGAAGGTGGCGCCGTCCGCGGTGATGGCCCGGTACGCGGCCGTCAGGTTGGCGTTGTTGGTCTGCACGACCGCGCGCGGGATCAGCCAGCCGCCGTACTGCGCGATGCCGACCTCGATGGCGCCCTGCATCGCCTCGAATTCCGCCAGGTAGCTGTCGAACTGCGCCGAGTAGACGGTGTACTGGATGCCCAGCCGGCTCAGCCCGTCCGTGAACGGCTTGACCAGCGCCGCCAGCCGGGCCACGGGGATGTTGGGCCCCGTCAGCGGCGAGATGGAGAAGCTGGTGTTGGTGAAGTACCAGACGCTCATGGCGCCGGCGTCGACGATCGCCGGCAGCGTCGAGTGGTACAGCGCCACGGCCTCGTAGAAGGTATCCTGCGAGATGCCGGCGTTGGTGAAGGTCAGGTTCAGGCCCGAGGCCGGCGTCCCCGGGTGCGCCTTGGACGTCATCGACCAGACCACGCCGTAGGTGCCGCCGCCGCCGCCGCACAGCGCCCAGTACAGGTCCGCGTACCGGTTGTCGCGGTTGGCCACGAGGAAGTTGCCCTGCCCGTCAATCACCTCCCACTCGAGCACCTGATCGGCCGCCAGTCCGTGGCGCGAGGCCAGCGCCGAGTGGCCTCCGCCTTGGCTGTAGCCCCCGGCGAGTCCGACGGTCGGACACTCGCCGCCGACCACCTCGAGCCCCTGCTCGTGCGCGGCCCGGTACGCCTCGATCCCTTGCACGCCGGCGCCCACCTTGATTGCCTTGCCCTTGTAGTGCTTGTCGGACCAGTCCTTGATCTCAATGGCCTTGAGGTGGTGCGTCCAGATCCCCAGGGCGCCCGCCCCGGTGGACTTGCCGTTGTAGTCGTGGCCGGTGTTGCGGACGACCACGCGGATGTTGTATTTGGTGGCAAACCGGAGCGCCCTGGAGATGTGCTCGGGCTTGCTCACGTTGACCGCGTAGACAATGTAGTTGCCCAGCGTGCAGGGCTTGGCAATGGGGTGGTAGGGGTCGCAGGTGCCATTGGTGAAGAAGGGGGCCATGATGGATGAAGAGGATTCATAACTAGCCTTTATTAGCATATTCCAGGCAAAAAAAGAGATGACATTAAACGTACTGCTCCTCAGGAAGCTGCCATCCCGCCTTCAGAGTCTCGCACTTTGCAGCATCATAGTTGGGCGCATGGCAGGGAGCGCCCAGCGGGACCGTAGCGACCAGTTGGCCGTCAATCGTCCGGTTGAAAGCGGACCAGATCTGGGTGGAGGGCCAGCATGCTTCTCCAGGGAAGCATCGACAGTTTGCCTTGGAGGAATTGAAGGCAGATGCAGTCGAAGACAAAGCCAGGAGGCCGGTCAGAACCGACCAGTTGATCGTGGTGGGGAACATCTTCTATCACCGTGAGTACGTACTCCGTAGCAGTCGAGGAGCTGAACGAGGATCGTCCTGATTTATCAATATTTATTCCCTCACAACCGATCAAGTAGTAGTAACCCTGCACGGTTGCAACGGCAGAGGTGTGGCATCCGGTCAGCGCACGCTAGAAGCCACCGCGTGGGCTGAACAGGGAGTCTAATCCGGTGCTAATTCCTTAGTCGGTGGAGATATCTTTAGTGTTAATCGGTCGATTGTTCTTCAGTTTAATTTGAGGGATTTGTAATTGTCTCTCGCTGGTTCAGACTTTCCATTCGAGTTGGGTTTATCCTCGGTATCTTCATTCCATAATGAATATTCATCCCTTGATGCACAGCTACAAACGAGCCCCCCCCGCCACCAGCCTCTCCCACTCTCCCTTCCCAAACTCAACATATCCCTCCGCCCCCGGCGGAAGCCAGTAGAACTTATTGTCCCGCCCCTCGGGCACCTTGGTCCCGATCTTAGCCGGGTCGACCCCCTCCTCGCGCAAGGGCACCTTGTTCTGCTTGTGGTTGTGGATATGGGCCGACGTCTCCACGATCCGCAGAAACACCGGAACAGCGTACTTGGGCAGTCTTGCGCGCGCAAACGCAGCCAGACCGCGAAAGTCGAACGTGTCCCGGGCGTCGGGGCTGAGCTGCAGCGCTGCGCAGCCGGCGCGGCCTTCGTGTTTGGGGACGAGCACGCCGTAGACGTTGGCTTCTTGGATGCCCGGGTATTGGCCTAGGGTTTCGGCCACTTCGGCGGTTGCACTGTATCCATTAGTATTGTCGGGCTCGGAAGGGACCTATTGTCAGGCTCAGAAGGGACCAGACTTACACGTTCTCGGACTTCCATCGAAAGGTGTCGCCTAGCCGATCGAGAAAGTACCACCGGCCGTCGCTCTGGCGGCGCAGCGCATCGCCGGAGCGGTACCACAGATCCCCCTTTTTGAAGACGTCGCGCAGGAACTTCTTGGACGTGGCGCCCTCGTTGCGCCAGTAGCCTTGGAAGGCTTGTTCGTTGGGCACACTGACGATGATCTCGCCGCCTTTGTCGTACGGGGACCGGATCGCAAACCCCGTCTTGGGGTCACGCAGGACATCGCCTGTGGTGGGATCGATCGCCACAGGCACAAACGTGTTGTGCATGACCGCTCGCATGATCAGTCCGTGGTGGCCGACACTGCCCGCCGTAAACGGGCCCTTGTTGTAATTGAACAACCCGAAGATCCCCTCGGTGCTGTTGAAGAACTCGCCCACGGCACCGACCCCGAACCGGTCCCGGAATTTCTCCCAGATATCCGGTCGCAGTCCGTTGCCGTACATGCAGCGAACGCGGTGGTTGCGGTCTTGCGGCGAGGGCGGCGCCGCCAGCAGGTACCGCGCAACTTCGCCGACGTACACAAAAGTCGTGGCGTTGGAGTCTCGGATATCGCGCCAGAAGTTGCGCACGCTGAACCTCCTGCCCAGCGCGATGCTGACGCCGGTGGCGAGGCAGACCATCATGGCGATGGCCGATGTGCCGTGGTACAGTGGCATGCAGCTGTACCAAATGTCCCCGCCGGGACCATCCGTGTCCTCCATCGATCCGCGACGCAGAGCGAGGGTGCTGTACAGTCGTGACATGGTGAATGCGCAGCCCTTGGGCATGCCGGTCGTGCCGGAGGTGTACAGTAGGATGGCCGGGTACTCGCCCGACATGTTCAGCGCGAGACCCTTGGGTGGCTTGGTGGTGGGAAAGGTGGATAATTGCGAGGTGAACGAGGGGCCTAGGTAGGTAAGTTCCAGGCCCAGTTGACCCTCGATAGCGGCCCTGCTCTCCTCGACTCGCGCGCGACATGCTTCGTCGTCATCCACCAGGACAATCTTGGCTCCGCTGATCTTGAGACAATGCACCAATGCATCCCCGGTAAGATTGTAGTTGATCGCAGCGGGCGCGCATCCAATACTCCAAAGACCAAGCCACGCGATCATGAATTCGGCCCGGTTCTGAAGATAAAAGGCCACCAGGTCCCCTTGCTTGACACCGTTCGAAAGAAAGTAGTGCGCATATTGGCAAGCGAGGTTCTGGACGTCGCGATAGGTGTAGATTCCCTCCCGTGTCCACAGGCAGGCCATATCCGGGTACTTCTTTGCTGTTTCAAGGAATACGAACCAGACATTTCCGAGCCCCTGGGCGGCTGTTCCCGTCAGACATGATTTTCGCAGTGTTGGAGGGCACCGTACCAGCTTGTTCGAAGGAACGGTTACTTTTCCACGCGAGGTACAGAGCCGAGATGTCTTTGGTGATGTGGAACTTGGCGTTCAGATACGCCGCCAGCGTAGCACCTCCTGCAGCTGCGGCTGCTGCGACGCCTATTCGGATTAGATGCGTTGATACTTGACTATGACTGAGTGTAGTGCGAGCATGTAGACATACCTAGACTCATCGTGGCGATGTAGTTGAAGATATCACGTAAAGCAGTACCAGAGAGCAAATGTCATGCAAGATAAAATCAAACGAGTGAATGAGTCGTCTCATAATTGAACAACCATTGCCGTTTGCCGACGGTCTGTCGGTCCATCCTCGGTTCATCAGTGACTTCTCCGCATCTGCATCTAGCTCTCGGTCCTCGCGAGTCAGTCTTACTGGTTCGAACACTGATGGAGACATAATAGGCCAATGGAGATTGATAACCAGTTACCCCATTGGTGAATCCTTTGGCAAAGAGAGGCTGTGTCTACAGAATGAGTGGGGAGAATAATCAAGAATGCGGGGAAATCTATGCTCCATATCAACGGCCACTCGTTCATTCGGAATCATAATGATCACAAATCAAACTCCATCCACTCATAAACACCACTCTTTCCATCAATCTCTCTAAGCTGAGCCGCCTGCAGGACCGGCGACACCTTCACCAGCAGCAGCACCACCCTGCTTCCTCTTCCTCATCGCCTTCTTCCGCCGCTTCACCGGGCCAGCAACACCGGTATCCGCGACAGCAACATTAGCAAGAGCAGCAGCCATGAGCCCGTCGTATATCCTCCGAATGTCCTCATGATTATAGTACTCGTAGTCCTCGTCCTCGTATTCTTCATACTCCCTTCTCTTGCGCTTCGTTCCCCGGTTCTTCCGCTCGCTGATCACCTCACGGGCATCCATATCCCAGCGTTGTCTGAACGGAAAGGGCGGAGCAGAGAGCTGGATGTCATTGAAAATGCATTCCGTTGCTTTGATGACTAGCTTGTCTTGCCAGTTTTCTTCATCTTCGGTGTCACTCTCGTCGATGGAAGCTTGCTTAGTTGGCATCTGCTGGGTTGGAGCGGAGGTTGGAGCGGAGTTGAGCGTAGGGGTAGAGGTCGGCTCGGACTGCTGGATATCATCGTTCGTTAGGATATGGATTGTGGACCATTGCAGACAGAGACGAGATGGACTCACCTGCGCATAGGTAACGACCAAGTCTGAGATCGCGTACAGCGTCGCGCAGCTTTCTGCGCCGGGGCAGGTGGGCTTGTAGCAGGAACTACAGGACTATCTTCTTAAACAGTATCCTGTGCATTGTAAACTGTACTTACAGCCATGGTATTGGTTGGAGGCAACAACCAGAAGCGAGTCCGGTGTTGTTGTTGGTGGTGGTTGTGATGACTTGGAGATTCGAGGAAGTAGCAACAGGTGACGCGGTATACAGACTGTTTGCCTATACAACCTCGCGTTTGCAGCCTACATTGAGTAAGTAAGGGCATGGAAATTTCAAATTTCTTGTGAGGCAGCTAGTCGATACTTCTGAAATCATAGATATGCTATATCAGTAACTACACCTGGTTTCTCTGTCCAAACAGCACCTTGCCTATTCACATCCATTCCGGTCTGGAGCTAGACAACTATGAACACTGTACCCGGGCTGGTCTGCTGATGATCTCGCAGACGCTGTCAGATCTCCAATTTCCGAAAGTGTATGCGACATCAACCGAACTACAGTTATTTACCTTAGAAGGGTACTGGGAGTAATACGCCTGCAACTACTGTCATTGGAGTAGTATCTCTGGATAGACGGTCTATAATTTATATCTCCTCCAGCACCAGGAACGACTCCTTGAGCTCGCGAAGGCGAGCGGCACCCTTGACTATGGATCGTCACCGTAACAGCTAACGAACTCTGCATGAATGCCTTTGATGAAAGCGTGTTGGGCTGCCACCCAGTTGACATATCACAATGTCATATTCTCCAGTTTACAGCTTGTCGGCTGACAAACACCTCCAACAGAAGGCACGACGATGTGCTTCGTCGACATTCTCCAACGCCGCGACCAGAGTGACCATTGCTGTCGCTATACCCGGGAGTACCACTGGGTCCTAATCTTCGCTTTATTGATATCTGATCAATCAGACATCCCGAAGACCCAATGAAGTTTGCGTCAACTTCTTTCTTATTTTGGACATGTTCCTAGGGATTGATTAGAGCTTGATAGAGGATAGGATAATTCAAGAGACTTACCTGCATGTTCTTAAGGCAAGTTGACTTCCACTGTCTGCAGTTGTTTATGATCCGTTCACAGGCAGCGATGAAATATAACCCTTCTCATCACGGGTGTAGACTTGCTCAACGATATCCTCAAGAAATGTACGTTCCAGACTAATTTCGCGATGGTCTCCATATCCGAATTGTCCAGGACAATGTCCCCTTCGCCAGGATTAGCGGGTCGAAGGAAAAAGTGCTCGAAGGGTAGCGTCAGAGGGTATCCTGTCACGCGAATGGGACCATTGACTGTCTTCTGGGATATGACAACACGCTGAGTTATTTCCGCGACATAAAATCCAGTGTACCAATCCAGTATCGTTGCGAGATCGTACGCATTACCAAGCATTCACTCAATGGTCTAGCCAGCCTCATTAGTACATCAACACCGACTCCGAGGTTGAACTCGGACAGCGGCAGGTCCGGGAGGATGGCGTTCATCGTGGCCGAGCAGGTGCCGTCGGCGTTCTTCACGACGTACTTCCCGTCCCTGTCCGGGATCGCCTTGCGGCTGTCGTTCGCCACCACGACGTCCAACCTGGTCGCGCGCAAGGTCGCGAAGTACTGCAACTCATCCTGCGTCCACTCGGGCTCGTTCGCGCCGGCGCCCACGATTCTGCCCGAGACCAAGTGCGTCTGCCCGCTCGGGGCCGGCATCCTAGTCGCAGCACCTGCAACTCCCCACTTAGGCTATCAACACATACGCAAGAACAAAAGTCACGGCCATCTTGATATCTTGGCGGCCATCCGTGGATGTCGTTTCAGGTAGCAGGAACACTCTGCTCAGTGTAGCGAGGTCTCAGTGAAGAATGCGTTGTAAGACTCCCGCCATTTTTCTGTTTCGCCTTTGCTCGGAAATTACAAGGTCTCTTTCCACAGGTGGTTCGGTGGACGGCCAACTATCTTTTCAAAGGTAGATCCAGCTGTATTATTGTGGTGTTGTGCCATCTATGTGGGATAAGGAATAATGGCAAATTGACAATTTCCTTGTCTGTTGTGGGTATGATGCACACATGGACATGCTTTGGCTTAACAGGTTTGACCTTCTGGCTTATGAGTCTCTTGGCTTCCTTGACATGGCGGCATCCGCAGGGCAGACAACTTTGCGAAATGTATTGTGTGGTAAGATCGCTAAAATTCTGGCTGAGTGCGACAGGTCAATGCTAAAGACATTGACAGGATTGTTTGACGGAAGACCTCGTCAGTTGACGACGGCCGCCAAAGACGCAGCCTCGGCACGGGAGAGCAAAACCACACGACGTGCCAACGGCAGAGCCGTGGCCGGGAACTGCCAGGGAGCAAAGTCAGCAGATGCATCGAGCAAGAAACGCGGGAAACCAACGTACCGAAAGGCAGGGCTGGTGCATCCCGGCGCAGCGGGAGCACTTCCTCCCCGACGGAGAGTATCCCGAGCAGGGAGGAAGCACCCCCGCTGCGCGAACCGTTGGTGCTTGCAAGCACCGGTAACAAAACATCGCAGGCGCGGCGGGACGGGGCGCAGGCAACGGGACTTGAACAGCGAGGCCACCGCGACCAGCACGGCGACCAGCACGAGCACCGCGACGAGGGGAGCGGCCCCGACCACCACGGAGAGGAGCATTGGCGGCCGCGGCGGCACGACCGCGAGAGGGACGGCCGCGGCCAGCGCGGCGAGCAGAAGCATTGGCGCGAGGCATTTTCTATAAAGTCGTGTAGTTGAGATTCCACTGATTGTGTTGCCGGTCAAGCCAGCTATCCACTTTCTCCTGGAAAGCACCCGAATCGAAAGATAGGTAGGCAGCATTGATGAGATCTTTCGCAGCTCGAAAGGAATAGTCCTTTCCTTTGTTGAGGTCATACAATATCCTCTGTTTCTGGCTGACATCCGACAAGCCTTGGACAACATTCAACCCGAACGATTCCAGAGTACCCACTTGGGACAGTTTTCAACCACATTGGGCTTAAGTGTTGTGAGATCCCTTTCAGCTGGAGAGAGATCTTCCAGCCTACTAATAAACAGAACAGTGTTAAAACCCTCACTATTCGCCTTCTGTACGGCTTGCCGGTTCGCCATTAAAGCTGCCATGATGTCTTTAGGGAGGCGGGCCCAGTTCCGGCGCTCAAATCGTTGGAGATAGTTTGCAGCTTGTGTCTCATATTCATGAAGTGCTTGTTCATAGAGCTTCTTTTGGGACTGTGTCGCCACAGTCCCAATCACTGGTTTATCTTTCTGGAGCACATTGGGGGGTGTCGCTGTCTACACCCCGTTGGGGCCATGGGTGGGGGGCGCTGCAGGCACTGAAAACCCGAGAATCTATTAGTAAATCTCGGAAAAAGTGACAGCTGTATAGGTGTATAGGGGTACTTACGGCATTCGTTTTTTTACAGGTATAACACCGGGGCAATTTATCCTTATGGCCAAAAAAATTCGCGCTGCGAGGGTCAGCTAATCTCGGGAAAAACGAGGAAACAAGGGAAGAACGCCGGAAACACTGAGGTTCTATCTAGAAATCTTAGGTATTACGGACCGGAGCTTCTCCTCCATGCGCAGATGGCCTCCCTGCCCTCCAGCGGGCATCCCAGGCCACCTGGCGGGGGTTGGCCGGGGGCGCAGGG